CATTAGTGTCTGCGCATGAATATAACTCGGATATTTGCCATTTATGGGCACATTCCGAGTAGCTGTACCTCATGAGTCAGTGCTATTCAACTATTTCGATTTTCACGCACCATTGAACAAGATTGTTGCTGGACGTTGATCCTCATAGGCTATACAGTGGATCTGATTGCGAATTCAGTAACTTCTGGTGTGGTGTCAATTATAGACAATTTGGGGCCACATCTTCTTTCCACTGAATTGATGAAACCATTGCAAGAAGCCGTTCACCCTTGAGCACATGACCCAAGTTGGAAGCTCACTTGCGGCGATTTTTCGCTTCGATTCAAATAGCCCCTTTATAAGGACCCCCCACTCAGCAACTGGTCAAAGTTGCAAGTGACCTACGCCGTATAGAGGCCCAGAACGAAGCAGATTCCAAAGATTTCTTTTCACTCGTTTTTTACCTTTCCTGGAAGCGCGCAGCGAAAATGAAGCACACTTTTCAGGTCCTTGCATGAGCCCCTACAATATGCAAAAAACCGTTTTCGAAAAGCGCACCACGCCCTGAACGACCTCCCTTGTAGAGCTATCCTACTTTCGCGGCTCCACAGCGTGTGTGGAGGGTGCTGCAGCCGCCGGAATTTCTACTTCTAACAACCGCTCACTTAAACCGCCCACCCAACGTCCTCTCCACACCTGACGCAGGGCCGCTCGAATGTTCTTTGTTGGGGCGGTGGGCACAAATCGGAATTGCATGCCATTTTTGCCGACAGCGCTCGAGCCCATAAGTAATTCTGCTCTTCTTTGTCATATTTTCTTCAGTAGGAACACATACAGCCATAAAATCACCAGTGATGCAATTTTTGTGGTGCAAAAGCTCGACGTGCATTGCTTCCGTAGTCCTGAATTCGTGGGCAGAGTTTCCGATTTTCTTGGAGATTTTTTTGTTTTTCTTCTTTGGGGAATCACTTATCAGCTGTTGGTCTGTAATCGACCAGCAAGTGTCCATGACATCTATCGAGGATGGGAAACCGTCTTTGAAAGGCTTCTTTCACTGCGCTCAACGCTATCTGCTGAACTTGTCTGAGGACGCCTGCTGGTGCTCAATAGCGGTAAAAATCGTTTAAATGAAGAAAATTTCAAGAACGAACCTTGTAGCAGGTCATATGTGGCTTGACGTTTGCGATGATTGTCGCTCCGACGAAGTTACCGTTTTCGAATCCAGAAACAACGTGGTCACTTCCATCAAGCGCGACATTGGCTCCCTCCTGTAGAAGTAACTCTCGATTAGCTCATTAAAAGGCCTCATGTCGAGTCATAATGTATGTATACCTTCTTCGCGCTATCGATGAGCTTGAGGCAGCGCTCCTTCGAGGCCTTCGATATGACCGGCCAATCTCGGCTCCTTGTTTCCATCCTTAACATTCGCATGATTAGAGGAGAGAAGTACTCAGTGTTGGTTGCCAACAAACCTGCATTCACTTGGAACTTCTTGGCCCTCTCAACGATATCGTTCACCCAAGAGCGAGTCTCGCCGACAAGGATGGCCGTGGTAAGAGCCATGCAACGTTGTCCCGCCATATCAAATGCACCAACAGTGATCTGAATAACACGATTCACAAGGGTTAATGAACAGTTTTCGGTACTAATTACCCCCTTCGTCTCAGTCATTTCAAATCAGACCGACCTTTTTCCCCGAGAGCAGACTTGGCTAAAAAGCGCTGGGGGTAGTTTGACCAAATATGCACGAATCTCGCATCGCTTGGCCCGAAACCACCTGGCGTCCGGGGCTGCAGGCTATGGCTAGGAAATACCAATATCAAATCCGCTGAAAACTTGTTCCCGCTGATAGTAAGAGCCTCTGAACGAGGATATCGCACGCGCCACAGGCGCCGGCGCTAGAATACCTGTTGACCTGAAAGCGCCTGACGCTTACGTCACAAACTGCTCATCCTGCACTTGGTTCAGCTCCGGCGGGTTTACCCTAAACTCCACTCGGTTTCTTGATGAGCATTGTGCTAGGGCACTTGGGTACACGCTATGAGAGGGCTTGTGAAAGTCATTTTATCCCTTTCAAAGCTCAGCGTTAGCAGTGGAAGTGACCAGTATCTTGAGAGAAGGGAGCACAAGAGCAGAAGCAGGTTGCGTGTACCCCCCTTAACACCATCTTCAACTTTCTTAACACCCTTTAAAGATGAGATATTTCTGTTCATGAGGTCAAGCTCCCGTCAGAAACGAGTTTTCAGCAAATTCGATGATCGGAATCCTGAGCTCCATCCCATCACATGGTAATATTACTAGGTCACCCAAATCACAGTCCCTTCTCCACCTATCTCTCTTGGAGGAGTGCTGCTCCACATTGCAAAAAATGGTGATGAAAACTGGTTCATGAGTCCTAAAAACCTTTAAGTGCTAGAAAAATATGATAGATTACCTGGTCAATCATCTTGTTCTTGTCACAATCTGGCATAACTACACCATGACATTTGGCTCCCATATTCGACTGCACACGCTTTCCATTCTTAGCTCCACGTTCATAAATATGTTTACCCTGGAAAGAGCTAGTAAGCCTGATCATATAGGACAGTTAAAAGATCGGTCCTCGATGGCCTACGAAAATTCAGAATTTTGTGTGGGAACCTCAGTTTGGTCTGCCATGGAAAACCTTGGGCCAGTTTCGCGGCGGAAAGTGGTAAGGTAAAGGAGTTGAGGCGTAAAGTTGCTTCAGTGACACCTCCTTTTTTCAGTAACTCCGCCTTCTGAGTCCGCCTTCAAAATCCAAAAGCCAAGAGGGGTGCTACCGCATAAGTAGCATGGAATGGAAGCCCCATTGCCCATCATAGGGTCACACGGTCTATTACAAGAGATTAGCCGACTGAACTCGGCCTAACCGGTGGATTTTTCGTCCTGTATTCGTACAATAGCTAGATGCTAGAGGGAATCTAATATAGAGGTTTTCGACGTTTCTTTATGCCTTTCCTCCTCACTAAAAATTCCCTTGGCAACTTCTTTTCTATATCTTAACATCACTGCCCAACTGCGGCTCTTTTATAAGGTAGTGGAAGACATACCGCTCGATCACCTCCAATGAAGGAGATTGCTTGAATGTCAGGATGATCACAGATAAAGTTCACAGTGTCAAATTGGCCATGGACAATGTTGAGGCATCCGTCAGGAATTCCAGCTTCCTAAAAAACACTCTAGTTGTGGTTTGAAAAAACCTCGCTGCTCAGTCATGCTCACCTTGCACATTTCAGCGAGCATCAAGCATGCTCCAGGATCCTGTTCTGAGGGCTTTATCAACATGGTGTTTCCTGTGGCAAGTGCGAGGGGGAATGTCCACAACGGGACCATAACGGGGAAGTTGAATGGCATAATACCAGCACAGACTCCCAAAGGATAGCGGAATGAGAGAACATCCAAATCGCGCGAAGCACTGAAAATACACTTCATTCATACGTTTTTCGTATAGGGACGGAAATAACTCACCTTTGAAGAGTTTCTCCCATCATGAGTGTTGGCACGGCGCAAGCGTGTTCAACCATCTGAAAATTGATTTTTGATAACGAGCACGATGATCGCTGAACATTTCTCAAATTGTTCTCCCAGTAACCTGCAATCCTCGGCCAACATCTCTGTCAGCCTCAATTAATGTTTTTCCTTGCTCATGTGTGATGTTCTCGGCAAGTTTCTTAGCGTCTCGTACGATCAGCTCCCGCAGGCGGAACATGGTCTGCTGTCGTGCTAGAGGAGATCTGAAGGAAAATCAAGAAATTTCGAGAAAAATCATCAAAATTTAAGCAAGCAGAAAACTTACACATTTTTCCATGTGTTGTAGGCTTTCTTGCACGACGCAACTGCTGACTCCAGCTCGTCCGGCGTGCACTTTGGAACTTTACCAATGATCTCATTGGTAGCCTGGATTATGCAGTATATGACGCGATAGATTTACGGCACAAAACAGATTGTGAATTTCACGCTCAATTACTCCATCTACTCTTTGGGCTTACTCTTTCTTGATTACCAAAAGCCGCGCGGTAATGGGGCCGATTTCTTGATCTCTGTTGGACTAGCTCTTTCTATCAGGTGAGTTCGGAGAAAAATAAAAACTCCCTTTCAAAACGAGGGCCAGACTCGTGCTCGTAGGGTCAAGGGCAGTGAGCACAATGGCTGGGACGGGCGGTTGCTGCCAACGCGATTGGTGGGGGGTTTGGGTGCGGTGTGCCCAAACGCCTTCTCGCAGCCTTTCCACAAATGACGTCGACAGTAAGCGCCCCCCCCCCCACAGCCATCGTGCCCACTGCCTTCAAGAAACTGTTCCAGAAAGAGGCTATAGAATCCCTGCATGATACCTTCTTCAGAACCTCGCAATGTTTTCAGAATGGATACATTCGTGCAAAAAGTAGCGAAAAGGGTCCAGAGTTATTTAGGAAAGCCAACGATGCCTCTGCTAAGTTCCGCTGGTCTACGATGGGCTCGTTTGCGCTGGCACCTGTGGGAGATCAGCTTAGGGAGGGTAAGGGATCCACTTGTCGTGTGAACTCTCAGTTATGCATGCAATTTTGAAAAGCGACTCATTGTCAACCAGGGATGTTACGTAAGAATACACAAGGAGGCGTAAATTACTGGCGGCGCCACAGAGCACTCCTACTTCCCGTTGAAACTGGACGCCTCACCTCTGAAGATGGTCCTTCTGTGCGTGTGAATGGGTCTGCGGTTACAACACCACTTTCTTCGCTCAAAAAGGGATAATGGTACCTAAAGCCCAATATATTCCCTGCGCTATCCTGAAGCGAAGGTGGTGTAGTGACAGTGGCGCGCTCACCTTTCGCGCGGTAATGGGTTCAAATCCCAGGTCGACACCCGCCCAGACCAACCAAGCCTTCCACCCTTCGGGGACGGTAAATGGTACCAGATTCGTCTGGGAGGATAAGAGACTGACTTGCACATCGGCTGGCCGCCCAGCAAACGTCATTGTATAGGCCACATCGCATTCAATAAGCACTACGATTCTGAATGAGAGTAGAATGCGTGCCGCATCCCACAAAGGGATTGATTAACGGCGAGGACTTTATCCTTTTATCCTTGAGGTGCAAGCAACAAGCAGGCTGCAGGCCCCAAATTTCACGACTCACACACTGCAATGACTAGTACATGTCACAGTCACATGTACAGTTTGCCCTCAAACAGTTTCCAGTATACTCTCCAGAGCCCTAACAGGCAGTGCCGATCGATGGTAGACTGCTGGATTAGGCAACGTTCAGACTTCGCAACGGCAGCGCTTCATGTCGCCGTCGATTTCGGTGATCGATGCGCATGCTTTCGACTACATCGAGCGCGACCGAAGTGCTGCCGTCGCGAAGTCTGAACGCTGCCTTAGGTAACGCATACCCCTTTCTTGTCCCCCATAGTCTTTCAATGAACAAGCCGCCGGCGCCGATCGCTTGCGACAGCGTCCGTGTCTGTGGAACTGAAGGCTGTTGTGATCGTAGCGTGTTCTACGTGCGTTACAGCGCGTCATTCACAGTGCCTCATACTGCCTGAGATGTCATACTGAGGGAATGCTGCAGACGAAGGTTGAATGGAATGGAGCAACGTAAAAAAAGAGTCGAGAAACAAATCTAGGGAAAGTAACAAGCGCCCGAATACCTTACAGTAAGCAGGCTGTAAACAGATGATGACGGTAATATGAGTTGAACTTACGGGATTGGTCAGGTCGATCCAATCTTTGGTCTTCGATTCGACAGCCTGACCATCTATCCACATCTTCACATTTTCGGCAGCTGCAGCTCTGGTCGTCGAAAAGAAGCATATTGGTGGCCAGCTGCGTAAGCGCCTGTAATAATGATCGCTAAACATAAAACACACAGAAGATGAGAGAAACGCAAAAGTACTCTTAACAGTATCTCCGGTTCACGAACTAACCATAAGTGCGCATTGAGAGGCCTCTTTGGTTTGAAGCTAATATCAGTTTTGCTGGTTTAGGCTCTCCCTTACCTATTAGCGCATCTACGATCTTGTCGCCACCAAAATTTTTCCGCAGCTCCGTTCCACAACACCACGTGCACCCGCCCTACACCCACCGCCCACAACTTTGATGAGAATGCGATTTTATTCTCTTTTCTATTTTCTATTCAGGCAATTACAGTTCCTCAAGCAAATTTTCAACAAGCAACCCGCCCATAGATGGCTTGAGGTAAATTATTGCGCATGGAATGGTAGGTAGGAGCGTTTTGAGCGTTGTTTCCCGAAGCATGCATTGGAATTGAAGGTCTGTGCAATCAGTCCAAACTCTCTGATATCTGTATCCTTCGATGTCTTAGTCTACGACTACTAGCCCATCAAACTAACGTTGTACTACAGCTAGACAGAGAATTCCTGTCCATATGCACTGTGTATTCAGACCGAAGCTAGTTTAGGCTGATTCAACTCCCCAGCTCAAAAAGCCGAAAGACGTGACAGTGTCTGAAGTAAGTGGTACGCCATGAATCGAGGGAGTGCAGGTAGAGTAGACGCCGGAAGAATATGCTGGCCGCCTCCAAGGCAGGCCACTACCATGTGCCTCTTCCAGCCGAGGGCGCCGTTATAGCGCGCTGAAGCGAATGTGCAACATGCTCGTCCCGACACGCCATGCCGCAACCGCGCCGCCCACAAAGAACGCACATGTCATTCGCGAGAGGCTGTATCTTATCACCCCGCATCATCTTTGGTAGTAGCAGAAACCGATAGAAGGGAGGTGAGCTACATTCGAGAAGAAGAGTTGCAGGAAGGCAGCCGTAACCTTTCAGAGCGGGAACGGTGTCGTATGGAAACTCGTCAGACAATGCCTCGTCACACACCTGCTGTGCGGAACAAAGCTCGCTGAATAGCAATCAGCTGGAATTTATGCGTCCCGGGAACGTGCGATTCCACACGAACTATGTAAACTGGTTGCACGCTGGTACACGGTGTTCACTATCCGTGGCATGGTGGCCATCATGTCTATTCGCGATGGCAATATTAGATGTATGGTGAATGTTCGTTTTTACACCCTCGATTTCTCGATTGGGATTGCAACAGCTACGCCTCTCGAGAGCACCTGGACCCCATCCAATACAATGTATTGTTAGATCAGTCACTCAGGCGAGCACTAGACTGGCTCTTGGAGTGGTGACTGGGCTCTGCACTGTTATGTTGGAGACAGTCGTTATGAAGTTCAGGAACACTGTGGCAGTTAAAGGCAGTTAGCACAATTGTTTTCTACTTAGCCTAAAATGCTTAGGGCGCTGTATAGTGGGGAAATGGCGAAAGAACGGAGTGAAACGGTCAAAATCCTGCGAAGAAAAAGCCTCCGTTCTCAGTGACTTGTAAATCGATTTCGGACGAGTTTCCCGTGGGCATCTTACCAATCATCGCTACCGAAGATACGGCTGCATATGTGTACCCATGTATGCATGCAGCATCACGGCCGCTTCATACCAATCCCTTCGCTTCATAATTTGCTTAGCAAATGAATGAATACGAGCGTCAGGAACGGTCGTCCATTTGTGGGCGGGCGGGCGTGGCGGGCGTTTGGGACGTAAAGTTGTGGCTTGATAGGGCCCTTATAAGGGCACCTTCCTCGGGGAAACCGCTATGCAGCGCCTGCCCAGGGTCGCGAATTCTATCCTGCCAGGAGTATTGATCCTAGTCGTCTTGGGGGATTTATCGTGCCAACTGCCTTTAATATCGTCGCAATCAGTCCGAGCGGTGTCAAGAGGGACGTGGTAGGCCCACTCACGGTGTTTTCATGACTGCACGTTTTTATCGATCAAAAATCGATCACTAGGCGGTCACTATTGGTAGGGGAAACCCATTACAGATCAGCACTTTCAGGTTTCGCTACAAGCGAAGGTCTTCCTACGAGCCAATGATGGAAAATCCATCATCGCCGTCAAGCTGAAGAAAGCCTTTACAGTATCTGCATCAACCCAAAGGAGCGTGGAAGTTCCGGGTAAGTCTCTCGCATGAGCTCGGGAGATTGCAGCTCTGATGGAAAATACCAACCGCTTGCCTTCCAAAACAATGTTCTACAAGTCGCTCACTCTTCATGGCTGGACCTTGAATGTAAAGGCCGAGCACGCTTGGATTTCAGACAAGTAGGCGGATTCTGAAACCCAGATCTCATCTTACAACGTGCCAAACATTTGCAAGGGGTTCGCTGCGAGAGCAAAGCATCCTTCTGTCACCCTTATCCCTCGAATTCATAGTTAGTCTAGGGTGAGGTTCTTAAGTCAAGTTGTACTGCCAGGTTATTATCAAATGTAAAAACGAAACGCGGCAGGTTCACTTGGTAAAGGCCCGCCCCTTCCAATAGGTTGAGGTTGAAGAACCAAAATGTGTTCTGATTACTGCATCTTCCCAATTTGGAATGATCTTTTGAGGCGAAGCTCGACCAGCACATGGCTTACCATGACACGGTTTTCGTAAGGAAGCATCAGCGACCCTTCAGCGAACATCAGGTAAAGTCTCTGCACCGTAACCCTGAAACGCAGTAGGTGTGGCCAGGGCTTCATTTGAACAAGGCGGCACCTGCGCTTTTGGTGGGTTACATCTTGAACTTTTGTGCATGGTCCTGTTACGAAACCCTGTGACGACAGAGGGCAGCGGCTGCCAAAGCATCGAAACGTGCAAAAAACGTATGGCGAGCCAGGAAACGGGATTTTTCAAGGGGAGGGGACTCCGGGGTGGGTGAGCTACTTACAGTCGGTGAAAAGCTGGAGTGAGCGAAGTCACAACGGCCATAGAGTGCCATGCGGACGAGAGAGTGCAGAGAAAAAGAGAAGATCGACGCGTTCAAAGGGATTGAGTTCAAGTTGTCCGTAGACCCTTTTGGTGGGACATTTCCATTTTGAGACAGTTGCAACCATGCCTTCGACTAACGCAAATAAAACTGCAGTTGCTTCGGACTAATGTAAGATATCCTACAAATAATTCGTCCCACACCATGTTTAATGTAACGCGCAGCCAAGCCACCGAGTTTTAGGGATGGTTGGGTGTATGTTCCAATACCATGGTGAAATCGTGAAGGCACTGAAGAATACACTCGGACACTGTGAAATCGTCAAAGTTGATGAAGTGTTCTGTGATATAGCGACGAAACCAACTACTGAACCAACGACTGCACATTGCAGTGAAATGTTGCAGCAAAACACTTTTCTTGGTTGCTCTGCTTATTTCCTAACACTGTACCACAAGAAACAAATGTGCCGTCGTTATACGAGAGTTCTCCATATGCCGTATGAGTGGAGTGCACATATTGACAAGGCTAGCAAATCGCGGACCTTCGAAGGCACGTTCCACATCTGATGTTCAGCCGCCTCCTTATGTACAAGGTAATCCTATGTTTTGACACCCCTTTGCAGCTTGTCTGCATGGTTTCCATAAAGCTCCCTACTTTTGCAATCAGTCACTATCTCAATGTGCCTTTCCGGAGTTCACGAAGGGGAAACGACTCAGCCAGGATCACTCGAATTGCCTTGTCACACTGCAACAGTCTTCATAGCGCAGTTTCATCACGGGAACGTTCCGGGATAAACGAGGTGATGGAAATGTTCGGCGGCTGTCGAATTGGAGCAGTCCAGACTTATTTGCAATCGACGGGTGGTTGGATTGGGATGTTCCTGTAGGACGTTGAGGGAAAGTCATCATTCTTCTCTAGTGGTGGACCGCAGCTTGCTTGATTTTAAAAGGAATATCTTCTGTTGCGATGTTGTAGTAGCAATATGACAATGCAGGCGGCATTTTTCTTGAACGGCGTGCAGGTGTACACTTCGGTATCTTCAGCAGGACAACCACTAAAGGCGGACCGTGGATCTTGATCCTTGTGAGGTGGTACAGGAGTTTCGGAGAACCAGTGAACGGCTGCTACCGTTACACAGCCCGTTGTAGGAATCCCTTCCCCTTCTCGGGTGCGTTCGCGCGAAAGGCGTCACACCTGCTAGTGGGTGACCCAGTGCGGATATCACGCAGGCAGTGCCAGAGGCGGTGTAAGATAGGAATTAAGTGCACGTCAAACTTGAGAAGCTGAACTAAGCGGGTAAAATACTGTAATATCGACGGAAGTATGTCACTTTCTCCGCTCAAAGCTGCTTGGGAGATGGAAGGTAGTAACGCTCAGTGTCAAATCCATCCTCCGATCGCGCTGTCAGTCACGCGCGTAATCGTAGCCAAACGCGCCAATTGTCTGCCCTCTCACTTCTGGTTGTTTTCGACCTCTCAGTGTGGTTTCGCGGCGGGATCTCGGTAGCCGCGCAAGTGCTGCACCTTGAGTAGTATGGGAATACGAAGACACCACCGACCACCGCTACTCTCCACTCTCCAGCCCTGTTTCCTTGAGTCTTTCAGCAAAAAAGTGTCACGCTAGCAGCTGCAGACTCATTCACTCGGTCATGAAAAAGACCGTCCCAGAGGTGAGTGCACAGTTTGTCTTTAAGTTAGCAGCTGCACACGAGTGGCATTTCGAACCCGAGAATGGAGGGTATCACTAGCTCGGTGATGTCTGCATCTGCGAGCGCGCTATCGTCAAGGCACACCAATTGCCCCAATACCAATATTCCGTGGCGAGCATTCCAGCCAGCCAGGAAAACAACGTTAATATTAAAGAGTAGTAACAAGCAGTTCGTTCGGCTATGGTTAGGCGTGCGGTTGGCTGTGCGTCAGGTTGCTTGCCTGCGTAGTTTAGCGTAGACACAAGGGTGCTGGATTTCACTGTCCTCAAACCTCACATCCTGGCATTACCACTTGACGAAAATCACACACTTCTGACCGTTCTTCTCTTCGCATATAGCTCGGAGCACAATCTTCGAAGGTGAACGTATGGTTTGTTTCCAGGGGACTCGTAGTGCAGAAAAGTTTGACCGACACCACCCCTGTATCAGAAGCTCACTCGGTTCCTTCACAAATCCGATTTCTCCAACCTTTAAGAAGTCTGTTGTAACAACGCGGCGATAGGTAAATAAGTGTTTACACGTTTCCTGAATAATTCGTTGAAAGTGTCACAGAACTTCTCGCTCGTCTTGATAGTACTGTTTTACTGTTCAGAAGAGTCATGGTACTGTGAATGTACAGCGAAGACCAGATTCCGGAATATCCTTTAGAATTCAAGAAACTTGGAGTGCTCTGAGATTCTCATCTGCAGAGGAGGGAGAGGCAGAAAACAGACAGTTTTCTTCCTTGATTTTCAAGGCGCTATAAGGTACGATCTGGGCCTTCCGCCAAAGCCTTC